ATAGATCTTTGCACGATGGCCATGGTATGGCAAGTCATGTTGAAAAAGGCATTCCCTTGAGGGGTGACCTGGACCACCTGGACCTGTTCATTGGTTGTAGCAAGAACCGATCAAGTTCACCTGATCAGAATTCATCGACACCCCTGGATTCTCGTTTGCATCACACACACGCTGCCTCGGTCTGTCAGGAAGTCGACCAGTGATATCAACACTGCAACACTGCAACCTGCAGGAAGTGGAGGGGTCACAGGCCACCGTGTCTGGAAGCAATGTGACGTTGCGCATGTCATGATCCGGAAACGTGACTACGGGTGATTACAGTAATCACACCACCAGCCCGTCTTGCGCATATCTCCATTTTGCCGAGTCAGACCACACATCAACACAAAGCGATTTCTAGCACGCAACAAGAAAGCAGCACCCAATCACCTTTGGAGTGTGCAAGAGCCTGAGTCGATGTTTGGATTCCTCTCCAATCTCCTTTTCTTGCACACTCCACGGCAATAGAAGCAAAGTCGTGCACAGTGCTCTTTCTCAGTTGGTTGAAAACTGACTGCTCAGCACAAGGCACAGCTCTTTTGAAAAGGGGTGCACTTGGCACCGTACTTAATTAAAGATTGGACCCATCTCAGCCCATGGTATCTCACCCATCGTGCAAGTGATTTGCCTGATGGTGGATTTTGCATTGCTGCACCTAGGCTGCGATGAAGGCGGCTGCACTCTGCGCAACTTCTTCACCACCAGCTCCCCGGCAAATGTCAAAGACACAGTCAGCAAAGATCTCTGGGTGATTGCCATCCTTCTGAAGGTGTTTGCCACAAATCGTTTCTGCTTCTCGCTCTGCAACTTCGGTACACGTCATGCTGAGAAGTGAAGCTGTAGGTTGCATCTTGGAGTTCAAGTAGGTTTCTGCAGCCTTGCTGCCACCCAAGGTCACCCATGATCCATGTGCCTGAAACTCGTACGAACACGCATGGCTTCATGGGGATGAATCACAGACTTTACACTGCTGCTGAACATGGTCCACAAGGAGAACTGTGTGCATCACATGCTTTTGCACCACCACAAAATCTCTTATCCTCTTAGCAAATACTGGGGTCTTGCCCCTACCACGATTGAGTTTGCAGCGTACATTGTGCCAAAAAAAATTCATGTCCTGCCTGAAAGTTGTCGTCGGTCTTCACTCTCACCGATAGCTTGGAAGAGAAGAAGCTCAAGTAGGACTCCTTGCCCAAGGTCGGAAGAAACACTGTTGGAGGGTCAACAAAGTAGATCATGGGTAGAAACAGTTGTACTTGATACTGGATGGATTCCCTAGATTCCATTTCCTTGATTCCCTAGATTCCATTGATTTCACAGGAATATCTCCTGCCTTTGACCCCTTAGATTCCACATCATCCACCATGGCTCCTTTTCATCTGGCGTAGCTCCAATTTCACCACCCGCATGCTCCATATCATTCCTTTGTTGCGGAAAACATCTCCACAAAGGAAACTCTGCACCAACACACACTATAATATAACATTCGAGGGCAAACCCAAGCCGTAGATTTCCTCCGATCGCATTCGGTATTATATAAAACAACATAACAAATACTGCTATGCAAATTGACGAGTCTTGTTGAACATACTGATCTTGAAGTCCATGTGATCATCAGGTTTGCAGTGGACCAAAAGCCTTGCCACCTTCCGCGGTCCATGCTCTGATTGCACATTCAGCATGACCTCGGATTCCATATTTAGGAAGTTGTTTGTGTTTTTGCCGGCTTCCTTCACATCAAAGTTCGCACCATCAGTGGACAAAAGCTCAGTCTGTGCCAGTTGGCGCCAACTGGAACCGCGCGCTTTTTGCTGCCAAGCACAGTCCTGTGCAGTCAATTCCATGGTGCGTCCTGAATTCTTTTCCAGAAGCAACAGGCCTTGAGTAGTGAATCCGGACCCGGAGTAGGAAGCCAGGAGCTGCATGTCCACCGAACCCTTGGAATAGCTCCAGGCCACATAGTTGCCTGGTTTCAAGAGGCTGTAGTGATCTCCCCAAATGGTGGAAATGTGGGGGTCACCGTCATCACCTCCAGTGGAGGTAGTGCTGGTGCTCGGCCAAGCAGTTGTGAATGTGGTGAATGCGCTGGTGGTGAAACTGGTGGTGGAAGTCCTCTTCCTGACGCAGCAGCAAATCCTCTGATTCCCCGAGGCAGCACTGGCGCTGCATCGTGAATCCGCTGCAGCTTGAAGAGCTGATTGACGGCACTTGTTGTTGCCTGATGCTTTGTGAAAAAGATTTTGTTTCCATCAAATTGAACATCAACCCACGAAGAGTGTCATGTTTTTCATTTGAAGGGAAACGTTGACGAAAGAAAACACACACACAAAACAAACACACATACACAAAAACAAATACAGTAGACAACATCACCCGGCCTTTGGAAATATATGGGGCAGACTTGCTAACACTGTTCGTGGGATCGCCGTTGCATGTCCGCCCAAGGCTTTTCACCACAGTCTTCAAAGCTTGACCTGTCAGAAGCCTCTGTTGTGTCGGGTCGCATTTACCTGGATTACAAGCACGAACGCAGTTGCCTCCTCCAACAAGGCGCTTGGGAAACCCATACATGTTCTTTTGAACCGGGCTGGTGGATGGAGATTCTATTGAACAAAAAAAAATTGCCCAAAGTGCGCAGTGCAAGGAGACTTGGGTTTTATATGGTTTTATAAGGTTTAACTATGTTTATAAATATATATAATTGGAAATATTTTGATATATTTGGACAACTTTGGCATTCTGGTTTGATATTACTTGTCTGATCATGTTGGACTAGTGTCTTCGACCAAACGATACAGTTTTCACGTCCGTCTGTGTCCTAAAGCGCTCAGCTTCCAAGTGCAGACGGCTCGAGCGGTCACTTGGAGAATCGAGGCATCGTCGCAGCCGGGAGCCGAGCAATTGCCGGGGTCCTGGCGCGATTCAAGGGAGGCGACCCTAAAGGATTGCACCATGTAAATCAACCATCCCATATCAAGACCATCCACTCGAACACAGCAAGCGTGAAGGGCTGTTGCTTTGTTTCTTTGGTCAAATTCAACACGCCACGAAAATAGGTCGCCAGCCAGAAGACTGATGGACAAAATATGGACAATGATAGACCATGGATTGGCTATCTTGACCAAGGAACCTCGCAATCTTAGCTGAGCGAGATAAAGAAACCAAAGCAGATCGATGGATTATGCCAAAAAATTATATATATATATCTTTGTCGGAATAATGTCTTACCTTCCACTCAAAGACTTTTCCTAAAATCCTAAAAGTCCTGAGAGGATGCAAAATGCATCAACATCACTGCCATTGCCATCATGGCCATGGCCTTTGCGAAGTAAAAGGAACAACACTGCGGTCTCAATCTTTCAAAACAAACGGCTTTGGCGGCGCAGGTGCGAATTTTAATGATTAATGTCCAGCTTTGTGGCATGATGTGGCATGTCTACCGCATCACAAGCACAATGCACTTGAAAGTGTTGAGGCATGTCTTTTGAAGATTGGTATATATCTCCTATTGAGGCAGGAGGTTTCATAGTGCCTGATAGTATATATAAATATAACAAACAAAACAATCACACCAAGTCACAGAAATCAATCCTTTGACAAATTGAACAACTTTTGAAAGACCAGCCTGTCCGAGAACATCGTCTTCTTTCTGTTGCTTTATCAATCGGGCTGCCGGTACTGGCCTGGACAACACGCTGTGTCACCAGGCGACGCACCCAAGACAACGAAACATGCGACCACCCAAACCATCAGAAAGAGTATGGCGGCCCTCGTTCACAAGATGGGCGCCACCCGAAATTCCGGGTCGCAACATGTCGCAAAACGAAGAAGAACTTGATGGACAGGTTTCTCCCGAAAACCCACCGACATGAGGAGGCCATGACTCATGTGAAGCAGGGGATTCAGAAACTCACCTAACTGGGATAGTGTTCACACAGCTTTGCCAGTCGTGAGATCGCTTCAGCCTGATGACCTGCCTATGAAGACTGGACTCTTCATTCTTCGTGTTGCTTTTCTGGGAGTGTTTCATGAGTGAATCTGCATAGAAAGGTGTCTTGTGGTATACATTCCAATGGACTCTGGTGATTCTGTTCTTCCAGCACTGGACTGGACACATGCCACAAAGGATGTGTGTGTCTTCTCTGCCAGGCCAC